ACAAATTCAACGATATTTGCGTTGATAAAGCCAATGAATGGCGAAACGTCTACATTAAAGATACTCAGATGTTGCATATGTGTCTAATTCCCTACGTTTTGGTTCTACCTGGAGTTTACCTGGAGAGAGTTCCGGGGGTCAGCGCCCCCGCGGCCCGGTCTGTGACCAGGCCTCCTACTCTGATCATTAACCAGTCACGAGTGACAAGACTTAAAAAGGTTTGGCCTCTCAGCGAAGCGATGTATTAATGGTGCCCATTCTGCCTTCCTGTTGTTGTTGTACAGCATGTAATCAAACCATCATGCAGTCGTAACTCAGTCTAACCAGCATCGTCCATTTTATATTTAACCTTAGCCCCTAAAAAAACTGAAGTGCCATATTTTCCCTTCGTTTTACTTTTCACTTTTAGTGTGCCAGTTTTTCTGTGCCACGTTTGTGTGCACACTTTTACTGAGCCATTTTTGCATGTGCTATATTTACCATGCAGCGTCTACATTCTCTGTTTATTAAAGGAATAGATAGGCCGAAGCGTCGTCTAATAATAAAGGTTCTCTCCTCGCTTTTCACTGCATAGTTTCATTTTCCTCTAATGGAAGTTGTGTAGTCGTACTGGTGTAGTATATCAAGCCTGTCGTAGTGACGCAGGAAAACCTTGTCTTGACATAGTACATACACACCTGAGCGTTGATTTTCTATGTGGACATTATCCTGTTGACGTAGATTAACGCTGGAGGTCTGTTGCTTGTCAAATTAATTTTCTCTCCCTTTTGTTGATCTGTCGTTAGAGAATTACCGGAGAACCAAATGGAAGGACCATCTGTAGCAATACTAGGGTACAGCACTGTCACTAAAGGGGTTTATATCGTACAAGGTAACTAGTAGCGACAACTGTATAAAGAAAACACATGTGCAACATATAGTGAACAGTTATTTAAAATATAATTGAGAAGAGTGGAATGCGACTTCGTAAAGCTTTTCGGATTTTCTAATCTATGGTGTATGACCCATGTGGTAGATGACCCATAAGTACCCATAAAATATAATCCTGTGATTTGTTCAAGACGATATTTTCTCCTAATGATATTTTTAATAGGATATTGTTATGATCATTACCTAAAAGAAGAAGCCTAATGGAACTTCTGCCACTTCAACCCTGTGCTGCTGTCTATAGTTTAGTAGTTTTGTTCTAACTGAAATCAATCCATACTAGTACCATGAGTGACGACATGGATGTTGAAGCGTTGCTTGGTTCGTCTCTGCCGCCGGGTTGGTAGACATAACGAGGATATCTTTTGTCATCCTGTTAGGTGTTCAGTATTCGGATTTATAGGTTTTTATAACCCAACTCGGTTGGATTTACAGGTGGTTGAAGATTAATGGTATCGGAGAAACGACACAGGTGGAGAGGAAGCTTTCATTGTGAGTGTCTCGTTCATTAGAGCCTCAAGTCAAAGGGAAACGTTGTCACGGTAGAAGTTTGTTTTATACTCGTGTCTTCTTTACTGGTTAACAATAAGCCGTTGTATGCATTCATTGTGTTATTTAAGAAATAATATTCAGAAAGTCGTAACACGAACGTAATGGTAATTCCACAAATTATATTAGATTTTCTTTTAGACAACCTAACAATGTAATTATATTTCATGGTCTCTGTATAATACATGTATTTTGGTAATTTGTAAGTTTCCCCCCAAAATATTAAATTAATTTTAATGTAATTAGAAATTCATTAATATGTAAATTGCAGCGTCCCTAATGATAACCCACCTTGACAAATATTTTAAAGGAATATTCTTTATTTAATTATCTCATTTCCGTTCAGTTCGTGATTGTACCCACCAAAGCTTACACCATTATCAACCCTTATTTTAACATTTTAGAGAATTCAACAGAAATATTGTGAAGGAAACCAGCTATAATTTTTAAAAGCGACTTTTTTAATGGAAAGAAAAAAGTGCATTGTTAGCGTCGTTTTCATTACTTAATGATTCTCTACCCCAATTAGATATTCATTCAATCATTGAATTTAGATTATTAGGAGCATACGATTCTGTACTAACAACAAGAATATCGCAAACTTAAAAAAAAAATTAACCTTAGTTAATTTTAATACACATGCATCAAGATCACAGTAAACAGGTGATATAATATACATAACCTTTGAGAACTTCCAAGCGCTTTCGTGATTTCTCACATTATAAAGGACATGTAAAAGTAACAGAAAGTAGAAGGCTTGTAAGGCTGAGGTGTCACCTGATCTACGACATGACACCCGTGCCAGTATGATGCGGGTGGGTATGTCAAGGACCTGTCACTCACGTCTTAAATTCTTTCCAAATTATATTAATTATTGATTAATCTTATTTTCTAATCCAAATTATTATTCACACGCAATATATATATATATATATATATATATATATATATATATATATATATATATATATATATATATATATTATATTATAATATTGAGGCATTACGTAGAATGAAAGGGGGTAAAGCAGCTGGAACTGATGGGATCATGACAGAAATGTTAAAAGCAGGGGGGGGATATAGTGTTGGAGTGGTTGGTACTTTTGTTTAATAAATGTATGAAAGAGGGGAAGGTACCTAGGGATTGGCAGAGAGCATGTATAGTCCCTTTATATAAAGGGAAAGGGGACAAAAGAGATTGTAAAAATTATAGAGGAATAAGTTTACTGAGTATTCCAGGAAAAGTATATGGTAGAGTTATAATTGAAAGAATTAGAGGTAAGACAGAATGTAGAATTGCGGATGAGCAAGGAGGCTTCAGAGTGGGTAGGGGATGTGTAGATCAAGTGTTTACATTGAAGCATATATGTGAACAGTATTTAGATAAAGGTAGGGAAGTTTTTATTGCATTTATGGATTTAAAAAAGGCATATGATAGTGGATAGAGGAGCAATGTGGCAGATGTTGCAAGTTTATGGAATAGGTGGTAAGTTACTAAATGCTGTAAAGAGCTTTTATGAGGAAAGTGAGGCTCAGGTTAGGGTGTGTAGAAGAGAGGGAGACTACTTCCCGGTAAAAGTAGGTCTTAGACAGGGATGTGTAATGTCACCATGGTTGTTTAATATATTTATAGATGGGGTTGTAAAAGAAGTAAATGCTAGGGTGTTCGGGAGAGGGGTGGGATTAAATTATGGGGAATCAAATTCAAAATGGGAATTGACAGTTACTTTTTGCTGATGATACTGTGCTTATGGGAGATTCTAAAGAAAAATTGCAAAGGTTAGTGGATGAGTTTGAGAATGTGTGTAAAGGTAGAAAGCTGAAAGTGAACATAGAAAAGAGTAAGGTGATGAGGGTATCAAATGATTTAGATAAAGAAAAATTGGATATCAAATTGGGAGGAGGAGTATGGAAGAAGTGAATGTTTTCAGATACTTGGGAGTTGACGTGTCGGCGGATGGATTTATGAAGGATGAGGTTAATCATAGAATTGATGAGGGAAAAAAGGTGAGTGGTGCGTTGAGGTATATGTGGAGTCAAAAAACGTTATCTATGGAGGCAAAGAAGGGAATGTATGAAAGTATAGTAGTACCAACACTCTTATATGGATGTGAAGCTTGGGTGGTAAATGCAGCAGCGAGGAGACGGTTGGAGGCAGTGGAGATGTCCTGTCTAAGGGCAATGTGTGGTGTGTAAATATTATGCAGAAAATTCGGAGTGTGGAAATTAGGAGAAGGTGTGGAGTTAATAAAAGCATTAGTCAGAGGGCAGAAGAGGGGTTGTTGAGGTGGTTTGGTCATTTAGAGAGAATGGATCAAAGTAGAATGACATGGAAAGCATATAAATCTATAGGGGAAGGAAAGAGGGGTAGGGGTCGTCCTCGAAAGGGTTGGAAAGAGGGGGTAAAGGAGGTTTTGTGGGCGAGGGGCTTGGACTTCCAGCAAGCGTGCGTGAGCGTATTAGATAGGAGTGAATGGAGACGAATGATACTTGGGACCTGACGATCTGTTGGAGTGTGAGCAGGGTAATATTTAGTGAAGGGATTCAGGGAAACCGGTTGTTTTCTTATAGTCGGACTTGAGTCCTGGAAATGGGAAGTACAATGCCTGCACTTTAAAGGAGGAGTTTGGGATATTGGCAGTTTGGAGGGATATGTTGTGTATCTCTATACGTATATGCTTCTAAACTGTTGTATTCTGAGCACCTCTGCAAAAGCAGTGATAATGTGTGAGTGTGGTGAAAGTGTTGAACGATGATGAAAGTATTTTCTTTTTGGGATTTTCTTTCTTTTTTGGGTCACCCTGCCTCGGTGGGAGACGACCGACTTGTTGAAAAAAAAAATATAAAATACAAATTTTAATTAGTAACTTTATAATTAATTATTCTGAATAAAACAGAGCCAGGGTTAATCAAGTAAAAGACAGTTTTTACCCAAGGTAAAAATCATTTTAGAATTTACTAATCTTGTCTTCAGGCAAAAAGTACTTCATTAGTCCCACATACAAATTGGAACGTTGCTCATTTACATATAATGGGGGAGCGAAATTTCATTCCTCGCTTCTGGTTATTTCAAGGAGAAACTAAAGCTTTTATATTTCCCCTTTACAATTACCGTTATTAGACCTTGGTTGACTCTAGGCACATTTGCCTATGTAGGCCTATGTAGGCCTCACCCTCAGTACTAATGTTCCTTCATGCATTTTTTTTATTTCATTAATATTTCTTTATTGAACCTACATTCAATTAGTTTTTTAATTCTCTAACTTACGTATATAATTACAAACATTAGAAAACTTTAACTTGTCATTAAAATTAACAATGGATATACGTAATATTAGCGATTTGTACCTATATTAATATAGTAATATATATATATAATATTTTATAATATATATATATATATATATAATATATATATATATATATATAATATAATATATATATATATATATATTGTGTGTGTGTAATACAAGATATTAATTCTTATTTTTAAACAGATTTTATATTGACAAACATTATTGCAGGCACTCTAGGCCTGGTCAAAGGCCGGGCCGCGAGGGCGTTGACCACCTGGAACCCTCTCCAGGTATACAGTGCCCCAGGAACTGTACCGAATGAATAATGGATGCTTAATGGATAATACGGCCCTGCCTTTTCCCGTAAATATAATTCACTTCAATCCCTTAAGGTTTTCTTTAATTAAATGAGAAGTTAAGTGCTGTTCTTAATACCTTAAAACATGTATACTTGTATTCGGTCAGTGTTTTAATGGTTTGGTTTTTATTCCTTAAAATATAAATGTCATCTAATAGGTAGTGGAATTAATAATATATTTAATTACTACATGTACAAGGTATACAGGCCTAGCTGACATCAGTGACGTGCTACTATTTAGAAAGCCGCTTGTTATGCTGAGCATTTCGGACAAATTAGGTCAGTTTTGTCCCAGGATGCGACCCACACCAGTCCACTAACACCCAGGTACCCATTTTACTGATGGGAAACATAGACAACCAGTTTAAAGAAACACGCCCAATGTTTCTACCCTCGCCGTGTGAAGCGAGAGCTTCAGCCACCAGGCCACGGGACACCGCATTGTAACTGTTAGGAGAAACACACAAATTTCTCCATAATGGCCTTAGTCATATACATGACCCTCGATCACATGACCAATATCTCCACTAAACTAGTCCTCATATTATTACAAAATACTATAAGTATTATGTACAATTGGATGTACAAAATATATACACTTGTGTACATGTCTTTGTATATACAATGTGATATAAATTATATTCATTAGTGTTCTAGATTGGTAATGTACAGCCGAAATGGAGCTTTAATAACGCTCGCGTAGTCATTAGGTTTTTTCTCTATGAAAGCAACTAACAAATCTTTCATGCTATACAATGGCAGTAAATATATCGTTTGATCGAAATTTATAAATCTGTAACCTTTTCTGGTGCAGGCCAGAGGGAATAAACCAGTTTGATATTTGATTGGCATGCTTATCTTGAATTTTGTCACAATACCGTAACTGCAATTTCTCTGGAATAAGCCACAAATTGAGAGGGTTTTAGACGAAGTTTTGGTTCTACTTGGACCATGTCAAGTCGCAACTTGATAATTGTCCAAGACGATTTTGGAATGAAAAGGAAATTGTAGTGGTGAGTTGTGCAATCTGACCAAACGCCAGTGAACATTTCTTGTGCTTATTTTAAGCTAATTTCTCATGCTTACGTCATTTATTTGCTAGGTCAATTTAGTGGAGTTTCTTAGCAAACTTTGCCATTTAAATCATACAGATGCACCATTAGAGTAAAAGCAATAATACAGTCTCGGACATTTCTAATCATAAACTGGAATCCGTGAGAACTCAAGACAAAATGGGTAAAATACCAGTGTTTACATGTCTGCTTAGGAGGACGGGATGGTGTTATGTCATGAGTGTTGCAGCGAGGAAGAGATTGCCATGAGTGTTGCAGCGAGGAAGAGATTGTCATGAGTGTTGCAGCGAGGAAGAGATTGTCATGAGTGTTGCAGCGAGGAAAAGATTGTCATGAGTGTTGCAGCGAGGAAGAGATTGTCATGAGTGTTGCAGCGAGGAAGAGATTGTCATGAGTGTTGCAGCGAGGAAGAGATTGTCATGAGTGTTGCAGCGAGGAAGAGATTGTCATGAGTGTTGCAGCGAGGAAAAGATTGTCATGAGTGTTGCAGCGAGGAAAAGATTGGTTCGAGTGGAATGGTAAAGTACAAAATCAAGTGATCCCAGGCACGATGTGGAATATTATGGATTGAATAACCAGTGAAGAATCTTGTTGATGTTGTGGAATGGAAAATAAAATTCAAAGACCGATCGAGGGGTTGTTGAGAGGGGTCGTGTGAAACGGATGGAGCAAGATAGGTTAATTGAAAGGGTGAATAAATCTTCGGTAAGGTTGAAGGGGACGTTCAGTGAAGGGCTTGTGGGTGTCGAAGTGAGGTGGAGAAGGTCTATAAGAGCGTTCCAGATCTGAATGAATGTGGTCTTGGAAGTATTTCCAAGACCACATTCATTCAGATCTGGTATATAAAAAAACTGATCACCCGAACTTGGGTTACGGAGGTCGGAAGTACAGCACCCGAACACCGAGGAAGTTTTGAGTTTCAGGAGTCGGTATATCCTAAAGCATATACCCTTTTGAAAGAGAGATTGGTAGCAAATAATGACTATGTTTTCTTCTTTTATGGTCACCCCCTTCCCTAAGGGGGAAACGACTGATGTTATAAAAATAGTAGTCTGAAGCCATTTTAATTATTAAAATACAACTAGGAAATTCGTCTTTTTCTCTTGTGGATAAATGTGACTCGTAGCTGAGGTTACTGTTAAGTTAAATATTTATCATGAATATTTTTATAATTAGTAAACTGAAAATAATGAAACAGAGGTTACTTGCATCCGGCAGTGAGCGAGGTATCGTGGTTTTTTGGAATGTTGCCACGCGTACTCTTAAACTGGAGGACCGGATGTAGTTTTCAGGTGTTCTCTGGGACCACAGAAATAGACAGGGCTCTACAAGCGGTCTCCCAAGAATGAGCATTTTACTCGCTTTTACGGAGCTTCACTACCTGTCTCACATGCTAATCGGAAATTTAATACAGAGCACATACATGTACAAACACCAGCACCATTCCTAACCTCACTTCTCCAATATGAATGACAGAAACAGACTGTAATTCAGTCATAATTCAATTTACCAAGCTTGGTAATTATTAGGCAAGGATTTACTGTGATTCCTTCGTGATTAACCTAACAACTAAGGTAATAAAGCATGGACTAGCTGCAGTTCCCTTATGATCCACCTTAACCATTACGGTGATTAAGCCACGAGTGACTTGATACCATCATGACCCACCCTAACAATCTTGGTGATTTACGTACACCAAAAGTTTATCAGAAACTCTTATCGGGAATCTAATACTTAGTTTTCAACAGAGAAAAAAATTATGTTTAAGATTTCTACCAAAGACGTTTTTAATGCATAACCTGCACATAGGAGAAATGAGCTTACTAGGACGTTTCGGTTTGACTTGGACCGTTTCTAATGTCAATTTAACTCCTGCTAACCTTTACCTATTTTTTGGGTTTGGCTAGAAGACAGATGTAGCAACAATGAGGAAGAGGAAGGATAAGAGTAAGAGAGCAACGATGTGGGGAGAGGGGGAGAGAGAGAGAGAGAGAGAGGGACGGAGAGAGGGATGTTAAGAAAGGTTAAGTAGCCTGACAACTTTAAGAGGGTTGAAAGAGTATTTTTTTCTGTCACATAGTGATGAGTATTCTTTTGTCACTTCATACTTAAAAGATATAGAATACCTCAACATTTTAAAATAATCACCAAACCTTTGAAGATCCTAAATCATGTTAAGTCGGTACACTAATCCCGTGTCGCTAATAATAATCGAACGGGTCCTATCGAAAAGAAAGACGAACCGTTCTGAAAATGAGTTTAGATAACTGGTACACTCAGGCATATTAATTTTCCAGAGTGGTTAAGTGCGTTGCACATAGAGAGGAAATTGCAGTGCTTTTCGCTCGTGGATGCAAGTTTGTTCTGGTGTACATCATGTTCTACTGCAGTTTTTGTTTTACATGTTCTCCAGAACATCATATTCCCCTGTGCATAATGTTCCTTAGAATATATTTTGTACATGTTCGTTTGAACATATGCATTATTTTGGTTTGAACATCATATTCCCTTTTACAAGTTCGTTTGATCATATTAGTTTGTACAACATAACCCTCTAGTGTGTGCACATTAAACCCTCTAGTGCGCACATGAAACACTGTAGCGTGTGTACACGAAAGTCCACTAACACGTGCACTTTAATCCCACTACTACACATTTGAAACCCACTAGTGTATAGTTAAAACCCGTTCTATTAACCACAATCACTATGACATTGTCGTAAAAAAAGTCGAACTGGTGGCTATTGACGGCGCCTCAAGCAGGTGAAATATAAGTTACACCGTTGTCTTCACGGCACTTTTTTTATCATTATTTTATATTTATAGTTTTTCCATTGTTCAGCAGAGAGTGAGGAAGCCTCACGTCTTTGGGAATAGCGGTATGTCACATTATTAATAAAGCTTCATGTATGTGCCGAGTCAAAGAGCATTTCCGGGGTTCTATAGATAGCACTTGTATGAAAGGAAAAGAAACTAAAGTATGATCGTATATATTGTGAGAGATACACAATACTTGGTTTATAAACAATGCGAGATACTTTGCGATATATACACAGCGAAATACCTCGGCGTATATGCGCTGCGAGATACCTCGGTGAGTAGAACATGTGGAGATCAAAGACTATCTGCTGGTGGGTTGTCAGGCTGGTGGTCTACTAAGCACCCTCATCACAAATACACAATCGAAATCGTCTTCATACATTCATACCCAAAAATTGTCATCCTTTATCTGGACGGTCGGTACGGCGTATTCCACTGAATTATTTTACAATGGCAAAAAAAAAAAAAAAAGAAGTGAAGCCTTTTGAATTGGCTTGAGGGGATGATCGCAAATACGACACATTGATTCTCGTGATTAAGCTTCCGTAAATCCCTTTGATAATGTGTCGAGCACCACTGTAAATACGACATGAAAGATCAGTGGGAGGGGAAAATGTACGCAAAGTGTTTATTGCTAAGACTGAATAGGACATTATTGCACGAGCGAACTTACATTGAGCGCTCCCTGGGAGGATTGATGCTGGAGATGTATTGCAAGTCATCGCATGCAACATGACAACCAATGGCTGAAGGCTGTCGCAAATCCAGTGAAATAGTAGTTACTCCAGACGTGCGTGGAGCTTCTGTATTTTAAGAATGAGAGACTTGAGAAAACGTTTCATCAGTTAGTGACTTCAGTGGACTGAAGAAGTCACTGACTGGCGAAACATTTCTTCAGTAACGATTCCCAAATGCTGCACGAGTCTTTCTTCAACTTGTCGGCTCTCTAAACTATTTATATAACGTTGGGTAAAAGAACACAAATGGAACTAATGTGACATTGTGGCAACTAATGTGACATTTTTCTGTGGCAACTAATGTGAAATTTTACTGTGGCAACTAATGTGACATTGTAGCAACACCCTCAGGAGAGGGTGTTGCCACTAGTGATATGCAACACCCT